CTCCTTCAATACCTTCATGGACATCCACGGTGACACTGCATGTCTGCGGGAGCTGCCGTTGCATCAAAGCCGCTCGATTCTTCATGCCCTACAGCTGGAATATTACACGTTTGATGGAATACCGGTTGGTGCGCTTGCGCCCTTATCTCCGTGTCTGTCTCACCTCTCGCTGGACCCCGATTGTCACGCTATGAGCGGCGTGGAGGGCGAGAAATATGATGCTGTTCTTAAACAGTACGCAGGCCGAGGCAACCTGCGGTCTGCTCGAGGAGGTCTTTAACACGAGACCGGTGTGATCCACAGCTCCCACAAAATCCGTGGGGTCTTCGATTCGGAGACCTAAGCACCCATATACCACGGCGTGTACTGCAAGAGAGCTTCAACCCCGCGTTTGTCTGGACTTTGAAGGGGGCGCGCTCGACAAGGAGCAGGGTGTTCGCCCACAGCAATCTGCAATGCTCTGAGCGCGGTCGGCGGGACCGCATTCATGACAATACCACCATCTATGATGCGACGCACGCCGCGAGTGGGAGCTAGTGCTGTGCCCCACGTGTGGGATTGCGACTGAAGTGGTACGAAAGCGGCCTAAGTGGCATAGGCTTTTCGAAATGCAGGAGCGAATGCGAATGAGATCCGGAGGTCAGCTGCTTCCGGCTTGCGCGAAATGAGAGGGGCGCCGTTTTCTGCGTGGTGTTTTTCGTCCAGTGCTTCGAAGCGCGGAGACGGAAGAGTCGTGGCTGGTTGCCTATCCTGGCGTTATTGGCACTCACGTACCTCCTGTGGTAGGCGCGTATGAAGGATAACATCTCAGGTATTCTGTTCGGACATGATAGCCGTCAGAACGGCCAGGATCACACAGACAACAGGTAGTTTTCATAAGCGGAAGCCGACGCACATCTTCTTATCCTATCAGATTGTACAACCGTAGCCCGTCCACGCAACGCAATATGCACAGGGGAAGAGCGCTTCGCCCCAGGATCTGCAGCCGACCGTGCTTTAGGATGTCTGCGTCCACCATTCCGTCCGATCAGCCAACGGTAACAATACCTCACACCGACAGCATTCGCTTGCGGGTCTTGTGGAAGCACAATAGTGTTGCCCTCGCTTTACCAGCGCCTCGAGTAGCGCGGATAGACGATGGCGTAGCCGAATCATTAGCTGTTTTTCGACGATGGACACAAACGGTCTTTGTGTTGCTTCCCCTGCCATAGCGCGGGACGTTGTGCACATTGCTTGGAGACCCTCTAGCAGCCTGTGCGCAAAAATATTCCTAATTTGCCCGTGGCAGACCCGATAGTGGCTGAACGAGCCACTGGATGCTTGAGGGTCCACAATGACAAGCTCGCACTGGCTTGCGGAGGGCAGCGAGAGGCTGCTTGGCGCAGGATCACTCTGCGTCCGCACTCTCCTCCGATATCCTGGTGAAATTTGGAGGCGACGCCAAAGGCGTGCAGAAGCTGCCGCCGGGACAAAACGACGCCGTCCGCCATACGTTAGAGCTGGCGTCACCCGCCTCTCACAGAAGAATCGCAGGTAGACCTGCCGCACAATTCCTGCGTTCTTCTCACCAGTCGCTGAACCCCATCCATTACGTCAACACGGGCGTGCAAGGCGGGAACACAGAGGTTGTCGTGTAGCAGCGCGTAGGGCGAGTTGTGCGGCGCTCTGCACGAGGAGGCCTGAGAGACGATAGCCCGGGGATTGACATCATAGAAAGAACTCGAAGAGCGTTCCCGCCAGAGGTCAAAGGACGCCTACGCCACAGCGAGTCAGGCAAGACGAGTTGACGCCGTCCTTCTCGAAACTTTTTGTAAAGGCGCGTTGGACAACGAGAAAGCGGGACGCCCAGAGAGATTTGCAACACGTAGAGCTCGGCATGCAGGACCACCTCCATAACACTTCCGCCAGGCAATGATGCAGCAGACATAGAGAGGGGAAACGAGTGGCGTGCGCTACGTGGAAGGGTGCGGCTGACACGAGATAAAATCGATGTATGTCGCAGGTAGCTTTCCGCATGTGAGAGCGAGCGCGAGTGAAGGCCGGACGTCCGCTAGTATCGCCTTTTGCGGAAGGCGAAGAGTGTCGTCTCATGCGCGCGCCCTTCTGCCGGACGCTCGAAACGTGTAAGAAGAGGCCTGAACTGTCTGTCGACCTCCACCCTATTGCTACCACAAGCACCACTATTGGCAATCCTATACACTGAGTTCCCTACCGGGGTTCTTCTTGGGAGAGTGCAGGGACATGCTATTCACTAAAACAACGGTGATACAATATATGGCAACCCCTCGCGTGTGATTACACGCTTCCTCACGAACACATTCGAGCGCACATCTTCGCATGCGACCGCCGTCAGCGAACTCAGCCCGCGCACACGGCGGAAGAGGCACAGGGATAGACGGCTTCGCGCCGTGCTCCACACCCCACGGAGGCTTTCAGTGCTTCCGTCCACCGCCGCTTCCGTCCAGCCAGTAGTCAACGATAACAAGCCCTCTCGCGCACGACAGCTGTTGCTGGCTCGTGACGTACAGCGAGCCTGTTGTTCTCTCTCCGCCAGCATCTAGCCTAAGGCGGGCGTACGATGCCGTGGACGAATCAGTAGGTGTTGGCAGCTAACGGAAAGGCGGAATCTGCCTCTACGTACCGCGAAATATGATGGGCACCACTCGCAGACGTTGCTAGAAGTGTGTGCTTTGGGATACTCCTAAATTGCAGGCGCTAGGCCTGATGGTGGCAGAGCACTCCGGTGGACGCTCGAAGCCCTGCTTTAACAAGCTAGCACTAGGTTGTGCGCCGCAAGAAGCGGCTTGGCGAAGGACCACGCTACCTGCGCATCCCCTTGTATGTCCTGGTCATGTTCCAAAGTGAGGCTGAATGTCTGCAGGAGCTGGCGCTGCAGCAAAGCCGCTCGATCCATCATGCTCTGCACCTGCAGTCCGACACATTGAACAGAATTTTCGTAGGTACGCTTGCACTTCTAGTGCGGTGTCCGTCTCACCTCTCGCTGGACCGCTCTTGCCACGCTAGCGCGGGCGTGCAAGGCGCGAGAAAAGGTGCCGCTGTAGAACAGAACGCAGGTCGACTACAGCTGCAAGCCGCATGCGAACGCCGGGAACACGATACCGGTCTGGTTCACAAGACCCGACAGCCGTTCTCGCTACAAAACTAAGGAAACCCCTATCACAGACGGTATCGCTGATCTCTTGTAAGAGCGCGCTGGACCAACGGACGGGTGTTTGCTAGTGCCAACTGCACTACCTTGAGCGCGGTTGGAAACTCCGCCTTAATATCACCCACTTCCACCTATGATGTGACGCACATAGCCAGTGGACATTAGTGTTGAGCCGTATGTTTGAGAGTCCGGCAGAAGTGAGACAAACGCGGCGTAACTCGCAGAGTGTTGCTGAAATACAAGAGCGGATGCGAGTGAAAGCGGGACGTTCGCTTGTCTCGCCGAGTGCGAAATGGGACGAGCGCCTTTCACGCGCGACCTCCTTCGTCTGGGATTGAAATACAGGGGCGGGTATGAGCGGCTGCCGCTCCTCGCCTTATTGCTACCTCACGTACCCTCTGTGGTAGGCGCATACGACGAGTAGTATTCCGGATTACCCGTCCGTACATTCTATTCATTAGAATGGCGGAGGTCCGATAGAAAACACTCTCTCGCGTATAATCACAAGCTCTTTCGGTGGCCTGCCCCAACGCGCTTCCTCCGGTACAATTACAGTCGACAACCTCTGCCCGCACTCGCAGCGGAATACGCATTCGAGCGGAGCGTTTCGCGCCATGCTCCGCAATTAGCGCAGGCCTTGGACCCTTTCGTGCGGCGTCGCTTCCGCAAAGCCAGACGCCGACGGTGACATGCCTTCACGCGCACGTCATCACGTTCTGACTCCTTAAGTACAGCGAGCGTGTTGTCCTCTCTCCGCCGGCACTCAGCATGACGAGGACGGAGCGATACCGTGAACGAATCAGTAGCTCTTGGTAGACGACGGAAAAGCAGAGTCTACTGCCTGCCTCATTGTACCGCGAAGTGTGATGTACATCAACGGTAGACGTCGCTAGCCGCATGTGTTTTAGAACACCGCTGAGTTGCAGGTGCTAAGCCTTATAGTGACAAAGCACGCCGCTGGACGCTTAAAGCTCTGTTTCAACAAGCCAGCACTAGGCTGCCCAGGACAGCAGGGGGCTGCTTGGCGAAGGAGCGCGGTATGTTTGCACTCTCCTTCGATACGCTGGTAGGGTTTCAGGGTGAGGCTCTATGTCTGCGGGAGATGCCGCCGCATCGAAGCCGGTCTACTCTTGATGCCCCTGACTTGGAGTCCCTCACTTTCGACAGAATTCTTGTAGCCACGCTTGCAGTCCTACTGCAGCGTCCGTCTCACCTCTCGCTGGACCGCTATTGCCACGCTACCCCGGGCGTGCAAGGCGCGAATAAAAATGCTGCAGTGTAACGGCACGAAGGGAAAATCAAGCTGCCGGGCGCACGCGAACGCTTTGTAGCACGACACCGGTCTAGTCCACATCTTGGACCAACCTTGCTACAGACCTAAGGAATCCTCCATCGCAGAGGATATTGCTGATCTCTTGTAAGAGCGCACCTGACCAGGAGCAGGGTGTTCGCCTGTGCGAAATGCATTGCTTCAAGAGCGGTTGGGAGCGCCGCCTTCATACCAGCTCCTCCCATGGCGTGACGCACATAGAATGCTAGTGCGTTGCGTACGTGTGAGAGTCCGGCAGAAGTGCGACAGAGACGGCGTAGGTCGCAGAGGCCTCCTGAAATGTATGAGCGGGTGCGAGTGAAGGACGCACTTCCGCTTGTCTTGTCATGTGCGGAATGGGGGAGCGCCTTTTATGTCTGATCTCCTTCGTCCTGGTTCTCAACGCGCGGAGGAGAGGGCGTGAGCGGTTGCCGATCCTCGGCTTGCTGCTATCTCACTTGCCTTGTGTGGTAGGCGTACAGGGCTCGTAACATTCCAGATTTCCGGTTCGTACAAGCAACCCGTGAGAGCAACGGCGACCCCATGGACGGCAGCGCCTCGTGCATGATTGCAGGTTCTGTCATGAGCTTACGCTGACACGCTTCTTCGCACCCAATTACAGTCAGCGACCTCGGCTCGCCCACGCAGCGAAATATGCACGCGAATAGAGCGCTGTGCACCATGACCCGCAGCCTGCCGACCTTTTCAATGCTTACGTGCATCACCGTTTTCGCTCAGCTTGACGTCAACGGTCAACTGACCTCACCCCCACCGCATCACTTTCTGACTCGAGACCTACAGCAAGCGCGTTGCCCTCTCCCGACCAGCACCCAGAATTGCGGGAAGGGGAGGCGCCGGGGACGGATGACTAATTGTCGGTCTACGACGGAGAGAATAGTGTTTATTGCGTTATTTATGCAGTCTTCTGCACGTCACTCGTAGCTGTCGTCAGCAGCGGGTGTGTGGCGGCTCTCCTAGTGCGCACCTGCCAGACCTGATGCTTACTGAGCAAGCCGCTGGACGCTCAAGGGTCCGCTTTAACAAGGTAGCATCAGCTTACGCAGGGAAGCTAGAGGGTGCGTGGCGAGAGACCGCGCTGGTCGCGGTCTCCTCGGCGTTCTGGTGCTGTTCCAAAGTGCCGCCCTCGCTCTGCAGCAGCCGCCTTCGGGGCCAGCACGGCTCCATTCGCAATGCCCTAGAGCTGGCGTCACGCGCCCTTGGCAAGGTACTCGCGGGGACACCTGCGGTCCCCTTGCTGCGTCTTTCTCACTTCTCGCTGAAGCACAGTCGCTACGTCAGAGAGGGCGTACGAGGCAGACACAGAGGTTGTCGTTTAACAGCACGTTGGCTGAGTCGTGCTGCAGTCTGCACGAGGAGGGCTGCAACACAATACCCGTGGGGTATACATCATTAGACAGGGGCTGTCTGGTATTCTCGCTATAGACCGAAAAACACCTACGCTACAGTGAACACCGCAATGAAAGTGTCTCTGATCTATTCTGGAGCGCGCTTGACGACGAGCAGGGGGATCGCCTTGAGCGACTTGCAACACTTGGAGCTCGGCATGCAGGACCACCTTCGTAACACCACCGCCCAGCTACGGTGCAGCACACATAGCGGATGGAAGTGAGTGTTGTGCGCTTTAGTGCAAGAGTGCGGCTGACACGAGATAGAAGCGATGACCGTCGCAGGAAGCTTTCTGCATGTGAGAGCGAGCGCGAGTGAAGGTCGGACGCCAGCTGGTCTCGCCGTGTGCGGAAGGAGAAGAGTGTCGTCTCATGCGCGCGCCCTTCTGCCGGACGCTCGAAACGTGTAAGAAGAGGCCTGAACTGTCTGTCGACCTTCACCCTATTGCTACCACACGCACCACTATTGGCAAGCCTATACACTGAGTTACCTACCGGGGTTCTTCTTGGGAGAGTGCAGGGACATGCTATTCACTAAAACAACGGTGATACAATATATGGCAACCCCTCGCGTGTGATTACACGCTTCCTCACGAACACATTCGAGCGCACATCTTCGCATGCGACCGCCGTCAGCGAACTCTTCGCGCGCACACGGCGGAAGAGGCACAGGGATAGATGGCTTCGCGCCGTGCTCCACACCCCACGGAGGCTTTCAATGCTTCCGTCCACCGCCGCTTCCGTCCAGCCAGTAGTCAACGATAACAAGCCCTCTCACGCACGACAGCTGTTGCTGGCTCGTGACGTACAGCGAGCCTGTTGTCCTCTCTCCGCCAGCATCTAGCCTAAGGCGGGCGTACGATGCCGTGGACGAATCAGTAGTTCTTGGCAGCTAACGGAAATGCGGAATCTGCCTCTACGTATCGCGAAATATGATGGGCACCACTCGCAGACGTTGCTAGCAGTGTGTGCTTTGGGATACTCCTAAATTGCAGGCGCTAGGCCTGATGGTGACAGAGCACTCCGGTGGACGCTCGAAGCCCTGCTTTAACAAGCTAGCACTAGGTTGTGCGCGGCAAGAAGCGGCTTGGCGAAGGACCACGCTACCTGCGCATCCCCTTGTATGTCCTGGTCATGTTCCAAAGTGACACTGAATGTCTGCAGGAGCTGGCGCTGCAGCAAAGCCGCTCGATCCATCATGCTCTGCACCTGCAGTCCGACACATTGAACAGAATTTTCGTAGGTACGCTTGGACTTCTAGCGCGGTGTCCGTCTCACCTCTCGCTGGACCGCTCTTGCCACGCTAGCGCGGGCGTGCAAGGCGCGAGAAAAATGCCGCTGTCTAACAGAACGCAGGCCGAATAAAGCTGCAGTGCGCACGCAGTCGCGTGTAAGACGACACCGGTGTAGTTGACATCGCCGACAATACCCGCAATGCACTCTCACTACAGACGTGAGGGGAGCCTCCTTCACAGGGGATATCGCACTAGAGTGGACGCCCTCCTTTCTTCGGCATCTTGTGAGGGGATGCTAGGCCTGGGGCAGGAAGTTTGCCCGTGCGACCTGCAAGGCTTTGAGCACCGTTGGCAGGACCGGTTTCATATCACCACCTCCAACCTACGAGGCGTTGCAGATAGCGAATGGAGGTTAATGCTGTGTCGTAGGTGTCAAAGTGCGGCTCAAGTGAGACAGAGGGGGCGTGAGTGGCAGAGGCTTCCTGAACTGTAAGAAAGAGTGTGGATGAAGGCCGGACTTCAGCTTGTCTCGCCTCATGCGGAATGACAGAAGCGCCTACGGTGCGTGAGCTCCTTCGTCTAGATGCGAAACAGGGAGCGGGCATGGGCGGCTGCCGGTCCGCGCCTTAGTGCTATCTCACGTACTTTCTGTGGTAGGCGTGTACGACGGGTAAGATACCAGTTTTTGTCTGCGGACACCTTACTCATAGGAGTGGCGGGCATGAAATGAACAGCGCCCTCTCGTGTATGATTACACGCACTTTCATGCGCATTTGTGGAAGCGCTTCCTCGCATACGACTACAGTCGACAGCCTCCGCCCGTACACACCGCGGAATATGCAAACCGATGGAGCGCTCTGCACCGTGCTCCGCAGCCGACGGAGCATTTGATTGCCCTCGTGCATCAACGCTTTCGCTCAGCCAAACCTCAACAATGACAAGTCCTTGCACCCACGGCCGGAGTTTCTGATTCGTAGGGTTCCACGAGCGTGTTGTCCTATCTTGGCCAGCGCTCATAATAGCGCGGATGGACGACGCACTGGACGGGTTGCTGAGTTGTTTGTGAACGACCGACAGAATAGGGCTTACTGCTTTTCTCACTGTGGCCGGGAATGTTGTGCAGATTACCCGGAGATGCCACAGGCAGCGCGGGCGCAAGAATAACGCAAATTTCACGTGCCAGACGTGATAATGACGGAGGGGGCCGCTGGACGCTCAAGGATCTGCTTTAGGAAGCCAGCACTCAGTTGCCCACGGTAGCACGGGGCTGCTTGGCGTCGGACCACGCTACGCCCGCACTCTGCTTCAATCTTTTGCGTGGAGTTTCACGGTGACGTCGCATGTGCGCGGGAGCTGGCGTTACATCAGAGCCGCTCGACCCTTCATGCACTACAGCTGGCGTCGCACGCTTTTGACGGAATCCCGGTGGGTACGCATGCAGCCCCCTTTTTGTGTCCACCTCACCTCTTGCTGGGCCGATGTCGTTGCGCCAGTACGGCCGTGCACGGCGCGGAACAGGGGTGCCGTTGTTTAAGAGCAAGCAGGCCGAGTCAAACTGCAGGCCGCACGCGCACGCTTGTAACTCGACACCGGCCGGTCCATATCACCGACAACACGCGCGGGGCCTTCTAGCTAGGGAACCTGAGCGACAATGTACCATAGCGGGTACTGCCGCAGAGGTTAGCCTCTTCCTTTCCCTGATTTCTTACGGGGGCGCGCTCGATCAGGAGCGGGGTGTCCTGCCACAGCAATTTGCAGTACTCTGAGCGCGGTCGGCGGGACCGCTTCCATGACATCACCTCCGTCTATAATGCGGCGCACATCGCGAGTGGAAACTAGTGCTGTGCCCTAGGTGTGAGACCGCCGCTGAAGCGGGACAAAGGCGGCCCAGATAGCAGAGCCTTTTTGAAGTGCAAGAGCCACTGCGAGTAAAAGCCAGAAATCAGCTGCTCCCGGCTTGCGCGAAATGAGAGGGGTGCCGTTGCACGCGTGGCTTTTTTCGTCAAAACCCAGGGAAACACGGAGAAAGGGCCCATGCTTGTTGCCTATCCTCGCCTTATTACCATCTCACGTACCTCCTGTGGTAGGTGTGTACGAGGAGTAACATCCCAGGTTTGCTGTCCGGAGCATATACTCATCAGAACGACGGGGGTCGAATAGACAGCAGCTTCTCAAAAGCTCTAGCCGACGCACTTCTATTTATCCCATTAGAGTCCACATCCTCAGCTCGCCTCCAGGTCGACGCTCGAAACGTGTAGACGGAGTCCTTGAGCGTTTACCGCTCTACGCCTTCTTGCCACCTCAGACGTTAATTGCGGTAGGGCTATAATTTGAATGACACCCCAGGTTCCTCCCCTGGAGGAGAGTGGATCATGTCCTTTACTAGAACCACTAGGCCTCTATGAACAGCAGTCCGTCGTCCATGATTGCACGCTCCTTTGTGAACTTATGCCATCGCGCTTCTTTGCAGCGGATACTAGTCAACAGCCTCACCCCGCGCACGCCACGGAGTACGCACGCGGATAGAACGCCTCGCGCCATGCTGCGCAGTCGTTCTGCATAGCTTCTGCGCATCCACGCCTCACCAATGAGAAGGCCTCACATGCGCGGCTCTAGTCCCTGGCCCGTGGCGCAACACAATCGTGTTACCATCTCTCCATCAACACCTACGGTAGCGCGGATGCGAAACTCCGTGGGCGGACCATTAGCTCTTGATAAGTGACGAGAAAGAAGAATTCATTGATTCCCGCAGCACTTCCCGGGACGTTCTGCACATCCTTTGTAAACACCATGAGCAGGGTGCGCGGAGACGAATACTTCTAGTATTCACCCGCCGGACCAAATAGTGACTGGGCGGGCCGCTGGACGCCCGGTGCTCTGGTTTAAAAGTCCGCGGTGGATTACGCAGGGCAGCAAGAGGCGGCCTGGCGAAGAAGCACGCTACGTGCACGCTCCCCTCACATATTCTGGTGGGGCTCCAAGGCGACTCCGCATGTCTGCAGGAGCTGCCCTTGCAGCAAAACCGCTCCATGCACCCTGTGCCCTACAGCTGAGTTCCCACATTTTCCACAGAAAAGTCGTAAGCATCGCTATTTCCGTGCCCATCTCACCTTGCGCTGGACGGCTACTACTATGCTAGCACGAGCTTGCAAGGCACAAAAGGATATACTGTCGTTTAGTAGCACGCAGGCCGAGTCACGCTGCAGTCCGCTTGAGAGCGTCTGTAACACGTCTACTTCACATAGCCGACATGACCCGCGGAGTGCTCTCTCTAGAGTCCGGAGGATAGCAACACGAACTGCCAGTGCCGAAACAGAGGCTGACGCCCTCTTTTCCATAATTTTCTACGGGGGCGCGCTGGACCGGAAGCAGAAGGCTCGCCCATGCGTCCTGCTATCCTTGAGCTAGCATTGCGAGACCGCCTTCGTAGCACTACCTCCCAGCTATGCTGCGGTGCATATAGCAAAATGTAATCAGTGCTGTTTACTACGTGTGAGAGTGCGGCTAAGATGGACTAAAGGCGGCCTAAGCGGCAGAGACTTCTTGAAATGCAGCAGCACCCGGGAGCGAAGGTCGGATTCAGCTGGGCCCGCCTTTTACGGAACGGTAGGGCTGCCGTTTCTCGCGTGTCCGCCTTCGTCGACGCTCAAGACGTTCATACGGGGGGCTTGGGTGTCTACTGGTCTCCGCCTTCTCGCTATGTCACGTCACCCCTGTGGTACGCCTATCCACTGCGTTACATACCGGGTTACGCGTGTGGACATGCAACTCAGAAGAACGGCGGGGACCTAATGGAAAGCAGCCCTGCTAAGTACACGGTTCTTTCATGGACGTAGGCGGAAGCGCTTCTTTGCATCCGACCACCGTCAACAGCCTCAGTCTGCACACGCAGCAGAACATGCTCACGGAGAGAGCGCTTCTGACGGATTTGCGGTTGCGAAACCAGAGGGGCATCCGACCTGCACCTGCAGCGGTCGATGCACCATACCCCGCTGACAGAGTTGTACAGCAGCTTTGTGCATTTTGGCGTGGCGGCGCTCTTCTCAGAACACCAGAGCAAGAAGAACGTGGGAGGGGCGCCTCACATGTTTGACGTGAGCGCACGCTGTGCAGTGTGCGGGCGTCCCCCTGGGAAGCCTTACTACAGTGTGCGACCTTTCCGGGCGAAGCCGGTGCTAATGTCTTACTTTCAGCTTCGCGTGAAGTGCTAGAAAAATGCGAACGGTAGTATAAAAGCTCTCGTTGCAGCACCAAATACCCTACGCAACCCATACAGATCGCGTGCCCACGCGCCACGGGGCGCACCGTCTGGTTCCCGTCATACGCCAATGCGAGTGGCGGAATGCTGCGGCATCAGTTCTACTTGTCAGCAGCGCGGAACTGCGAGGCCGGTTCGCGGGCATGTGGGCGTAAGAAACCGAGTGTGCTTCGTCTTACGTCTTGCCTCCTCAGCACGTACACCACTGCATCTTGTCAGCGGGTGCGCTCGTGACATTGTGGTGACAGTCAGCCTTCAGCGCGGATTCCGCAGCTCGCACAGGATTCGTCCGTTTTCTTTCACACAGTGCCCAAGACCCTTGCGCGTAAGCGAGGCATGCGAGACACGCACTACCAGCGGCGGCTCATGCGACAAGGACCAGGAGAGCACATGAGCTCTCTTCAAGCGGAAGGGCCCGGCTTCTCAGCAATGCGTTGGAAACATTGTAACGCGTTTGTGAGATTTTAGAGCCTTGTCAACCATTAAGCTAGTCCCAAGAAGTGCACCGAGAACGACGTGCTCCTGTTGATCAGCGCCGTACACGGGGTTCTGTTTGCAACGGTGAGGCCGGCTGCCGAGTAACTGAACAGAATTAGACTGCCGACCGGAAATTGCATTCTCCGCGTTTAGGCGCGTGAGGCCAGGCTGAGCTAATTGATCGAGATTTCATCGCCAGTCGCATTTCTGATATGCCTGCATTGTACACGCCCAACGACGTCGACGAGATGACTCCGCCTACAGACGGTCCGGCTCTACGTGCTGTAGCCCAAAAATGCTTACCACTCGAGGCGAGTGATGAGGAAAAAGGTTCGCTAACTCGCACACAGGCGTAATCGGGATAAAGCCTCAGTTTGCTGTGGCAGAAGCCACAACGCTGGAATGTGCCCGTAGCTTGACAATTCAGGACTCATCCGAGCACCAGCTGTGTTACCGGATGCCCCGCACTTCCTGCAGCAGCGCTTTCTAGAGCGTGAAATCATGGTACAGTGAGGAAAGAGGCTTGATTTGTGCATGTCTGCACGCCTGCAGGAGCCTCTAGGTGTCACTGGCCGCTGACAGGGTGGCGCGAAGTACGAATACAGTGATTCCTTTGAGGAACGTACTTTTCTTCGGTAAATTTCGGTTGACCTACAAGGTTTTCTTTTGCGGCCCACCATCTGGCTTCGCAACATGGATCGACATTAAACACTTCCGCGACGAACTGTCAAATACCTATGGAGTAGAACGCAGCGTGGCGTGCATCCTGTTCGCCCTGCCAGGCTTATCACATCTCCGTCGGCCCAGCTGCTCTTATGTACGCATCGGGGCGTACGGCGCTAGGACTATTTTCCATTGCCCGGCACGCGACTTGCTTGTGTAGTCCTTCCTTAGATTAGCCCACTCAGCACAAGCTCCCGCGAACAACCGCTTATAGTGAGCACCCCCCCAAATTGCGCGACCCCAGGAGACGCAGACGGAGACAACAGCCTGCATCGAATTCGTTTGCTCGAAAGGCAACTCTGGTGTGCGGGACCTAGTCGTTTTTCCTCTGCCTTGCCAAGGTCTGAGAAATCCACCCGGTTCCTGGTATTCGCTGTGCGGGAACAGGACATCTACGTCGTGGTGTTGACACCTTCTCCCTATCTAGGGCCTTCGCCGCGAAGAAGGCTGTAACGTACGCTGTGTAGTAAGTGGCGGCACCTTGACGGCCAAGACGTGTTACGCCAAATTTTTCTGACGAACTCAAGCTGCCCTTTTCAGAATGCTCCTTATTCATCTCAACGGCACCACCAGCCACAGGGCAAATTTCCTCTTGTTGTTTCACTGTGCATCCAGGCCGTTGAATACGGCAGCTGCGCGAGAGCGGAGTACAGCACGACTTGTCAAGAATGTAAGATACACTAGTTGGGTAGCGCGGTCGCTCTGTGCATATATATATGTGTGTATATGTATATATATATATATACATATATATATATATATGTATATATATAGATATATACATACATATACGTACACCATTTATATATATATACGTAAGCCGGAGCAAGCCGAGAAGACTCAATGCTTTCTCTCGCTTCAGAAGCAGTCAGGCGCGCCTGTCTGCTGCGTGTGCCGCAGGCGGTCGGTTCGTGCATTTTTCGTGCGTTACACCGTTGGGGCACGGTGTCGCTGCAGTCGACGTTTGCTGTATGCTATGAAAAAAACGTGGCGCGCCTCATCTCGACGTTTGGTACCTCGTAGCCTCACACGTCACATGAGCATTGTCAACCAGCACCACGAAAGCCATGTAGCGCACTTTTCAGACCGAGTGGCGTCCGCAGCTGCATCTGGCCTGTCAAGCACAAAAGCCATTTGCTTTCGAGGATTATGCCCACGGTTTCAGGTCAACCTCTTGCTAGACCCTATCTCCTTAATTTGCTGGTCTACCCGCGCGTGCATTGACGGCGGAGGCGTCGGCTGTAGTTGTTCTCGTACATGGTCATTTAACACGCTTTCTCCTGGAGCAGTGCTCACTGGTAGCTCGCACCCTTCCTTATTACTCCCGCCAACATGGCTCTTAGGGCTGTGAGGAGCAGGAGGAAGTGTGGCGTCGAGTTGACTGTCGTCTACTTCGATGCTCTCAAAGGACGCTTGCCTCTGCGCAGTCCCCCTCTATGCTTCCTTTTACCGCAGGTTTGTCTGCACCACCTTAGAGTATAACAATGATTCTCCTTCGAGTGACCACCGAGGCAGGCCGTTGTTGCAGTCTTCCGTGTCTTCGGTAATTTACAAGAGTCATGGCCCCACGCTTGCCTCAGCCGAAAGCTTCGGCAGCGCAGCAAGAGCTTCTTCGTCATTAGTTTTGACCCGGCTTCCGAGAGACTGATCTTCAGCACAATTCACAGGGATAGCAAATGAGTCGACACGTGCGACGCCTCCAGTCGTCGTTTTGGTAAAAACACCTCACACGGTGCCGCTCAGGCATTCCCTGCGCATTTCCGTGTATTATGCCGTGCATCCGTGCACCTTACCTGTTGAAGCCTTAGCACCGCAGGCGCTCGTGCCTACCGCGGCTGCGCGGCGACGGTGGTTCTGCCGCAGGTAGGATTTAGCGCAGACGCCGGAGCGGCTCCATCCTCGCCAGGTGTGTGACGTCGCAGAGCATTCCGCTTTGCTTCGTCTAATAATGCTTTCAAAGCCCACCACGGTTGACGCTGCATTGAAGCATTTCGCCCCACGTGCACGAAACTTGTTGGCTGCTTTGTCGCCTTTTGTCTGCCGTTTTCTGTACTCTCGCGCGCCAGGCTTCATTGGCTTCTTGCCTTTTCCGGCGTCACCGTCTGTCTTACTTTCTCCTGACCAGAAGATCAACCTCACTGTTCTACAGCGCTTCTCTGAAAGCCTGGGACCTGTGACGCTCGGCTCTCTGACACGTACGCGCATCTGGCGGTCACGTTCCTTCCTATAAAATGCAGCCCCGCTCTAAAAAAGCTGGTAAACAGGCGTACGAGAGCAGCCAACAAGCAGCGTAGCGCTCAGTCTGCCCAAAGACGCTGGTCAATGTACAGAGAGTCGGGCGCTGCCAGCTGTACATTCGCCGATCCCGTAAGATTTGGCACACGGTAAGTATCAAGGAGAGAGAGGCGCCGCCGTCATCGCCCCTTCGATGGATTCCAGACGTCGCTGCTGCCGAAAGCGGCTGTAGCGGTTCGAACAAGCTCACAAGAAGCCGAGAAGGGCTTGTGGGAGTAACTTCGTTCATGCCTTTCAAACCGAGAGATTTTTTTTGTCTGCGTGGACGTACCGCGATAGCACGCATTTTCTGAAAAAATCACTGTACAGACAGAAAATAGGGTGCTCCTATTCCCCGGGGTTCGTGTCGCACAGGAGCCTCCAAAAACAAGAACATGGCGAAACACAGTGCGTACAACAGAGTGAAATAGCAGATGGACGCCTCGGTCTTGGGCAGGGAGGTCCCCGACCCTGGACGGTAGAACAAACACCTTTCCTTGCGCCATGGCACCGAACACGCCATATGGAGCTACTGCCATGCAGGCCCTGCTTGTACGAAACAGCGAAGACTATGGTTCATGCCATATAGGGAGCTACGTCAGCCACCGCCGTAGAATTCGCGGCACGGCCGTTGAGCCCTGCGTGCGATCGGAGTCACATGAGAGTGCCAGAGACGCGCTTGCTCGCGCTCTCATGAGCTTCGCTGTCACACAGTCAAAGGCACCGGGGTTCGTGTCGCACAGGAGCCTCCAAAAACAAGAACATGGCGAAACACAGTGCGTACAACAGAGTGAAATAGCCCATGGACGCCTCGGTCTTGGGCAGGGAGGTTCCCGACCCTGGTAGGCTGTTGTGCAGCACTCCGTACGAGAAAGCGCCGCTGTGCCTCCGCGAAGTTTCACCTTGACAACTCTCCAAGGTTCGCTCCTCCTTTGTTTCGCGGATAACACGTGTCGCATAGCGCATGTCTAGGAAGCTTTCCTCTCAGTGACAAAGCCAGCTGGAGCCGCGAAAAAGAAGAGATGCGCTGCAGGTGTGAAAACCCACGGTCACTATATTTGTTGCAGGACGCGACCCACCGTGTAGCCGGCTGCACAGGTTGCCGGTGTCATTTGTGTCCAAGCGAAAAATCCAATACAAGCCGCTATGCACGAGCCTCAGGGCAATCCCACCAAAGTGTGACCGTGCTGCTCAGAGCGCCATATGTTTTGGCAGTGCACAAAGGGCAGAGTGCTTCTCTAGGCTGCTCCGGCGGGCGTCGCCGCACACTGCCCCTTCTGCGCTGCGCGAAAAATGTCACTTTTGTCTTTTCTCCTTTGAAAGATTTAACCTCCACCACGCGCACCTGAGGAAAACGTTTGGTCGGCTGCGCCGGCGTTGCAGGCTGGGTGGAAGGGAAGGTCTGGCTGGGCCAAGAGCGACCCTGCCAAGCCCTCAAAAGGGAAGAAGACGACGGCGTCCATGGGTTTACGACGGGTTGTGGGCCCTTAGACAAGCACATCGCACAGGAAAAACCATGGTGTTGAAAACGTGTCCCGCGCGTGACGTGGTCGCCACTGCGTTCGCTGGGACTGACTTTCGGTGTTTCTTCTCAGCGAATCACATTCCATAGGGAAAACTGAATGCCTATCTTTCTCACGCTGATCCCGTCTCGCAGCCAGCAGCGTTAAACTTCGAGCAGTCAAGCTCACGGAATCTTCCGGTCTCCCATGGGCCTTCGGTTGTCGCTAACGGCTCACTGTTACTCACAGGCGTAGGCGTCACTCGAGTGAAGAGATGGACTGTGCTACCGGTGACTGTCGGCGTACCTCCGTAGGGATGCGGCTTACCTCCCGTATACCTCTACGTTGCTCTCAGTTAGGCGCCCTGGTATTGCTGTCTCTGTTGGCGTTCTCGTGTCAGGTTTTCGTCACCACGCCTGCGAGGCTGAGAAAGACTCCATAATACGCCGCTTTTGTCGCTGTGAGGTCCTGCGCCACCCTAGTCGTGGTTTGCTGAACACCTTGCCGCGAACCTAAGTACTGGGGACCTCCTGTGGGTTTTTAGGAGGCAGAGGACCTCCCTATTTTTCGGAGTGTCGGTCCTAGTGCTTTCAAAGCACAGCGTTCGACGTGCAGGTGTCAGAGCACTCGCTGATACACGTGACCCTCACCACAATACAGTGCGCTCCCGCGTGCCTTCGCTCCCCAAGCGCAGCGACATGTAGCCTGAGGCCTTAGCAGCGCCCGGCCGGTCTGTAAGTGGTTTTCGTTTGGCACTTAGTCGTGGTCAGCAACTGGCAGCAGGCGAGACGGAGGCAGCTGCACTCATTTCATCGCCGCGCCCACTCGGCAAACCGCTGACCCCCCTTTGACTGCCGTCAACGCCGGAAGCCGTTAAAGTGCCCGACGGCCGCTGCAGAGCACCGGAATGCACAGGGGAACCTTATTCGTCGGGATCGATCCGCTTCTTCAACGTCGCGCGCATTGAATGCAGAGTCATGACTGGGCCTTCCTTGCCACCAATGCGGTTAACATGCAGAGCTTCTGTGCGCATGCGGTTGCTTTCCTACGTAGTTGACTGCACTCAGAAAGATACCATGCAGCCCTGCATGATGGAGTAGGCAAGCACTCTAGCCCTCCCCACAATCTACCAAAGGAACTTACCTGCATAACTGCCTCACTTCTGGTTTTCTGCCTTGGTATCAGTACCTTAGAGGCCTTCTGGCGTTACATTCTTGCTTTGTAAAATTATGACTACCCTAGTGCCCCCAGGACTCTAGCAAACTTCCGCGTTCTTCTTCTAGAAAGCTCGTAGACCCCAGCAGCGTGAGTTTGACGCGTGGAGCTGACGGAGCTGCTGGCGCCAACCAGCTTGCGCTCGAAGTACCCATCGCGATGCAAAAGCACTCTGACCGTCACTGGGCCGCCTGCAATCGCGTCGCGTGAGGCCTCGCCGGAGGCGCACGAGCTGCTGTCGAAGGTTGTCGTCCAGGGTCGGTTCTGAGGTCACGGCAGGGCCTCGCGCAGCCCTACCGCCAGCGCCCCACTACGTCAAGCGCCGCAACTGCTTCTGTGAGACCACACGCGGCGTCCTAGCGTCGGCGATGCTGCTCACGAGAGGGGAGAGTACAAGTACGAGCGCGAAAGGAAACGCTCCCCGCTCGCGGTGGCGGAAACGCCGGCGGCGGTATGATGCGACGCCTCGTTATGTTTGAGAAAGCTTCCCTAGGAAACGGAGCCTCTCTTGTGTATAAATTTCGCCCTCATGTAGAACGCAGGCGCATGAGGGGACAGTGTACTTTGTACTGAAGTGTCGCCTTTACCGGACTGCATATGCGAGTGTTATCCTGTTCTTGCAGCAAGGGAAGTCTCAGAGAGCCTAGAGGTCATAGAGCGGTCCACGACATTAGGAATTTTGAAGCTTAGTGGCAGGTTTGTCCCACCTGAAGCGCGCCTCGTCGCCTGCCTTTTGCTCCTCAGAGAGGTGTGATTCCGTCTCCTTCTTCGCACTCGCAGGTTGGCTTCGCTGCCCGTAGCCCTCCCTGGCTGTGCAATAATCGGGGGGGTTCCCCTCTGCTGAATCTGCGAGCCTCGCACTTCGAAAAACCGGTTCAGTTTGTAGGCGACGGGCACTTTTGAGAAAACTCCGGGCTAGCTTCGGGGCAGCCGCCTCGTGTACGCCGAGCGAGGTACTTGTACGACACCATTGCGGTCCAAAGCTCAAATCGATGTTCTGTGTAATCGCGAACGCTAGCCGTAGTTCTATTTGGCCGCGAGGGCCTCCCACCGTCGGTGCAGGGGCGACTCGCTCAATCGGCCACGTGCCTAGATCACTTCCACAAGGTCGTGCACCACAAATGTCCACGCTTCTCAAACAGTGAACGCTTCGCTCGTCTGCGCTGCCGCCCACCCTTGCGTACAGGTGGAGCGGATCCCTACTCAGAGACCGAGGTCCTCAGCGTCTTGTAGCAGTCCACCGCTGTGACCCCGTCTCGATGAAAATGGCGTCAAACCTCTTGTTGGTAGCAATGTGCCGAACGCCACATTTCCGCAGGCCTGCCCGGATCTCAAACTGATACACGTAAGCGTGTAGTGCTGCGTCTCGCGTGTCCACGGGTGTGCCCGCCGCAGGAGGTAATGAGACTTTGCCAATCGGAAACGATACCCCGGTGTCGCATGCACGGATTTTCGTGTTGCAGCAGCAGCGCGCTCTTTCAGACAAGCCGCAGCGCCACTCATACCAAATTCCGCCTTTAGAAAACAAGTAGCGGCCTCCGTGTAATGCCGGTCGTGCAGCGGTCTTGCGTGACATCCGAAAAAAGCAGCCGCTCCATTAAATTCAGTCATCGTCGCCCTACCAGCTCCTAGCGCACATCCATCCATGCCGGCTCGCAAACGCAGGAATCATCGAAGACATGGGGGTGCTGCTGTTTGTTCAGGGCTCTCACAATATATTGCCACGTCTATAAGCATGGCTGTAGCTTCGCCGGCGGTGCAAACCCAGCGCCATGGTTTGCACTCTAGGTGAGCTAATATCGTCTTCGCGTACACCGCGAGCATCACGCAGAAACACGTCTCCACAGGGCAAGGCCCGAGGCGCCGTGGTCTCGCCGGTGTATATCTATAGTGCGGTGTCTCCCAGCATACTCGCCGCTATGCATGTGACGAAGGCCTGCATGCACAGCCTCCCAAATATGATCGTGCCGTGCTGGAGCGTGCCTTTGTTCGCCTCCCTCTCAGCAGGGCTTCTGCGGAGCAGGCCGCGCACGTCCATGCGAAGCGCACCAGCGCTTTTCAGGGCTTCGCCGGTGCCGGCTGAGAAGCAGGCCGCGTCTCGGTCGAGTCAGGACAATCCGTTGCTGATACTACACGTGCGGCGGACTTCACTTCTGTACAAGCCAAGCTCTTTATGAGCATTGTGTGTCGGCGGCGGCCCGGCTGCATCCACACTGATACCGGTAGGCCCTTGTTGATTCACCACATACGACGGCAACCATTGCCGTCGCGGTATGTCATTGCCCTGACACGCTACATTGCCTTGACCGGAGGGATCAATGAGGAAGGGATAGCTGGTGCAGCGAAAGGGATTTGGGCTTTGGCGGACGCCGCGGCGACGAGAATAAGGTGGTCCCCGCTCTGCGTTTCTGGTGTAGCCGCGTCTCACTTCAGATTGGCGGAATGTAAAGGTGTCTATTACAGCCTCGAGAACACGCCTCGGCAGAAGACATCGGAAGCGGCTGGGTGAACAGAGTGACCAGTACGGTGTGTAGACGTGGGAGAGAGCAATCGTGAGGGGAAGTGTGTCTGCGTAGGCCACGTTGCCGGGTGTTGCCCTCTCAAGACGCAAACTCTACCCGCGCCCTTCTCGTACGTCCATCCAATGTTTTGCACTTTTCACCGCCCCGACCACCCCGCAGTTAACGTTGGCCCGTCTTCGAAATCAGCCTGGCGTGTGGCCGGGCAACCAAGCTTCACTGCCCAACTAATCTCCGTTTACACGATCTCTCAAGCGTGCCACAAAAGGATTATGGACACAACTTGCAGCGGCGCTCGAAAGTCCCAGAAGCGGCATCTCCCTGTGGCACCCTCCGACGCGCTTGCAGGGCAACGCAGATACGACTGTCATCACCAACAGGAGGCACTACACTTTCGGCTTCACATACGTGAGGGACATTACTGAAGCCTGGGCTTCCCATAGGGAGCTGATGCTTTTTCTCTCTTACTTGTTGTAATATGTGCAGCGGGGCAGCTGCAGAACGGTGGTCCGAAGCGAAGCGAAGCTGTTGTAGCCTGCAAGGAAATATCGCACTCTGTGCAGGACTCCGTTGCAGACATGGCACGTCCGATCGGCAGGGGAGCGTGATACGTCTGTTGCTGCGCAGTATCAAAAGGTCGTGGAGTCTGCGATTCTTCTGCAGTGTGCAACAGCCCTCGGCGGTAGGACATTTCGTCACGCCGTTTCGCCCCTGAAGAACAAAATACCGGGCCATAGAAGTACGACATCACTCCTCAGCAGTTGAGCGCCCTTAAGAGATTCGAAACATGTGAGGTCGGGTACCGGTGGCTTGCGGGTCTCGCCTCGGCGCTCCGTTTGCTGTTTTTCTCCATGTGTCCCCTGTACTGGGCTTGCGCTTCTTCTCTACCGCTACTCTAGGAAACAAGGCGCGCTCATGAAAAGGAGCAGGCCTGGTACTGCCACCCAGCTTTTCTGCGTGCACAGGCCCTCCGTCTGTAGAATGCATCGTTGCCACCTACCTCCCGCGTCGTACGCGACGTGTCATACGCGCAGAGACAGCTGCTAAACCATGTTCTACGAATCAGAAATGTCAACGCGTTTACGAAAAAGCTAAGTTTACATGCGTGGACTGAAATCCTGTTTACAAGCTTCAAAATGGCTTGCCTTCTTTCTGCATCGCCACCGCACCAGCATCAGGAGTCAACGCATTCATGGACCTCCGTTCACCGCTTCACGCTGGGACAGAAGAACACCATGCTTCCCCTGCGCAGCAGCACGCGCATCACGTTGCGGTTGGCTGCTCTCGTAGAAGCGTCTGCAGGAGGGAGTCTCTGCATCATAGGTGCGGAAATGGACCGTTCCTGCGTGCGACGCCGGTGCTGATGCAGTACCGCAACACACCCCCTGCGGCAGTCAAAGCCGACTTTGTATCCTCGTAACAGCAACGCAGCCTGGGGGTACACGAATCGCATAAAGCTATCCCGGTTAGTGCAAGTCTCTGCGTCCACCTGGCGGTGGACCCTTCGCGCGAACGAGGAGCTGGCGCGCACTTTCTGGAGGGTGGTGCAAAGGCATGTCAGGTACTCTAAAGATTCGCTCGCGGCTTGAATACACAGTAAATGGACTTCACGGGCGCGGATTGACCACTGTCACTGTAACACTTAGCGCCTTGTGTCCGAGCCGGGCAAACGATTTCGTCGGTTCGGCATACTGTGACGGCCCCGGCGGGACCGGCTGGCCGCGTGATCCTCCACCGGAACTTCATTTCGTCTTCAGCAAATATTGCACACCTAAAATCACGTCACGGGTTTTAATGTTTGCGGTGTTCCGAACAGAAAACTAGGCGAGCCGCTGAGCCGAATACGCCATTGACAGGGTCAAGACACAATGACGATATTCTGCGGACGGACTACAAGGTGAGGATAATTGGTATCGCTGACGAGCCTCGGCCTTGGGAAGCATGTAGTCGGCCTGTGATGAGACCGTACTGTCCAGTTGTACGGAGCCCTAGTTCATTCATCTTTGCCAGGACCTTCTCAGGACGTGGAAGCGACAGTTGCGCGGGTGATCTCCACCGCAGTAGCACAAATGTGAAGTTCCGTTGGCCCGCGTCAGCGTGGGAAGCCTGGTGTACCCTAGGTTTTATTTAGACGAAGCAGGAGCTGTTTCCTCACTTCTTCCTTGATTTGTGGCCCCGGATGATGCAAACGCTAGCGCAGTCCTATAGAAGGCCGGCGTGACAGCGGCCAGTACCTCGAGCCACCTCTACGTGGCTGGCGTGTCGTAGCAGGATCACAGGGAATCCCTCGCGTCCGCAATGGCAGGAAGCAGCAGGGAGGGCGCAGTGGTGTCGAGTTGCACCTAAATCGCAGCTGAACGCCATCGCAAGGCAGACGGATCTGCATTTGATGGTCTGCGGTAGGCGCCAATCGTATGGCCCTCGTTCTGCCCAGCCCACATATCGCTTGTTCCGGCGCCCGCGGCATAGTGCTGCTTCCCAAAAGAGCGCAACCGGCCGTCATAAGTAAAAACATGTTTTTTCCGTCATTGCCGCAGACTGCAGGCCGTGTGCTGCCCATATGTGGAGCGTTTGCTCGGCTCGGCTTCAGCAGGCGTTTCAGCAGACACACACACAGATGGCTCATAGCCGCTTTTGAACGGAGACATTTGGACGTGCGGTGGATTTGTAGCTGTCTTCAACTCTCTCGGACCTCCGACCCGATAGATCATTCCCAAAGCCATTTTCACAGGGTCAACCTCTCCAGTGCACCACTGTCAGCTAAACAGTTCGTGGAGTACACTGCGACTGACAAAAAACCCCGCCCTTCCTGAATCGAACCTGTCTGCCCGCTCCACATCGCTCTTTCCATGGCTCTCTTGTTGAATTCGCAAGTGCGACTATTAGACTCAAGAAGTACAGCTTGTAACGCTTCCCGCCCGACCCACGGGACAGTTGTCATAGAGATTATGTAAGCACGCTTCTCCACCTTCTTAGTTTTCCCGCGTACCCCGCTTCTGCGTGCCTACCCAGCCAGCTTCAGCAGCCTGGGCCTGCCCCTCGACCTCACGCGCAGGTAACTAACGAGGCGGTGGTTTGCCAAAGTCGTCATATTCTCCACGAACTGGTAAACGGTATATGATGTCGCCCGCATTTTTATGTCTCAACCCCAATCCGTAGCAATGCTGCAGCCTTATGTTCACACCGTGACGCGAGCTTGGTTTGCACTTCGACAGGTCGTACGTACCAAGCAGCAACAGATGATATCGCGGAGAAGTGCGGGACAGCATGCAAGACACCACAGCCACGGATTTGTAAACAAGGATTCCCTGGTCTCCTATCCTCAACGGTGCCTTTCGAGGAGGCCCTGTGGAACCTGGTCAGGGACAGACTGGAGCATGCGATGCAGTTGGAAGCATCCTGTTGACGTGCCACGTTTCACTCAACTCTGCACCGCCGGCTACCCCAGAATACGTCGGTGCGAAGCTCCTCGTCGGCGTCGTCGCCCGTTGCCTCGGCGAAGCATCATGGCTTGCCGCATCTTTTGCGGGCCCATGTACTTGCTTGCCTGCTCAGAGTCGATCGTGACATTGAGCACGCTAGAGCCGTGGGCCCACGTCTGTTCTGCAGTTCCACGTGCAGCCCTTAGTCCCTTAGCCTCTCCAATGCGTGTAAGCATCTTGCCGCGCCGCCACACACATGTGTATAACCTGCAACCGTTCACAATGTATGGCGACAGGAACTACTGACGCCCCCTGGCACGCGTCGTAGGACTTGCTCTGGAGAGCATCTCTGCCTATCTGACACAACTTTTCTCTTCTGTTTCTCAAGCGCCAAGGCGAACCAGGGAGCTCGCTTTGCTTCTGCTGTACAACGCACCTCCACAACGTGGGCTGCTTTGCTCCTTCCTCCTTCACCTGTAAAAAGCAATGAGAACGGCTATCGTCTGCACAACGCCTGCAGAGCAAAAGCAGCTGCAGCGTCTGCGGCGTCGTACGCATCACCGTGAATTCGGCTATTGTCTGCTCAAAGCCTGCAGGGCAAAAGCAGCTGCAGAATCTGCGGCATCGTACGCATCACCGTGAAGTCTTCAGGGTGTACTGAGGGAATAAATGTACCCTTCTACAAGATTCTCAGGGAAAGGGACGGCTGTGCGTCACTTGCTGAATTGTTGCTCTTCGCACTTGTGCTGTGCGCGTGCGCCTGAACATGTAAGAGCAAGTCCAGCTTCAGTGTACAGTCTAGCGAGGCTTCCAGGTCTGTCTGAGCTGACACCTGAGGTTCTGTAACGCTGGCGAGCAAATGAGGGATGCTTCTGAGCAGACGCCACGCGGTTACAGCCAGCGTAGCGCTATACCGCTCACGCCCGGCAGCGCGCAGGCCCCGGGAGGACACAAGCCACGATGCTTGTATACTAGTCAACGGGGTCGCTGGAGGTTTGCATGTTTGCTGTCGCGCACCGCACGACCCCGCGTCGTGCGGTGGCACGCGTCGTGCGGTGGCACGCGTCGTGCGGTGGCACGCTGACAGGCGTGCACCATGTACGCCGCAGCGAACGAGGTCGGCCCCTTTGTGGCATATCGGACAGAAATGTCGCACTGGCTTACGATAGGCAGCGACAGTCCTCTGTGTATAAACTGAGAAGACGCTCTTTCCGCGGTCGCGCGCGAAGATCGCATGCGCGGCGTCATGGTGTGTAGCGCGTATTTTCTCTCTGAACGCCGTGATACAGCGGCCGCGTACACGGGCGTTCCCGCCACCATGCGCTCTATGCCATGGTGTACTGAGAAGCGCGGGCCCGCGCTCTCGGTTGTAGTCGGTGTCTTGAGGCTCTTATTGGTGAGCTGCAGCACGCAAAAGGCGACCAAGCGCAGCCGGATCAGCACTCTCCTGAGGCGTTGTGCTTCGCGTCTGTTCTCTCTGTCAGTCCTCGTCTTTGTACTCTAACAGCGTGAACGTCACACAGCTGCACGACAGTGAGGTACCTTTCCTTGCCACAAGCAGAAACTCGACAGCATTCCAACTACGCCTTCTTCCCTTCCACGAGGTGGCGCAGCAGGATGACGAGCTTCACCCTGGTGAAGCCTGTCGCCGAAGATCATGCTCAAAGCTGTCGCTTTGCCAGATAACGCTCAATTAATTCAAGCCGCAACGAATCACGAGCGGGGTCGCAGCAGAAGCGGTGCGACGTCACTCCGTTCCGCCCGCGGCGTGTGGGTCTTCCTCAGGCGCCAGCGCCGAAAGGCCGTGGACCACACGCACTGCCACGCGTAATCACTTTTCCCGGACGGAGCTCGAAAACTGGGCATTTCTTCTGCAGCGTGCAGCTGTGGAGCTCATATTTTTGAGCGCTCGCTGAGAGACAGGGCACATGGAAAGCCTGGGCAAATTCCTACCGGTGCCCGCGCCTTTCGGGAAAAGGAAGCGTGCATGCAACGGTGTCCCACGCTCTACGGTCACGACGAAGCTCCGAGTCCGTCGCACTTATACTGTTTCATTCGCTGCGTTTGTTGTCTGTCTTGCCGCGTAGTCTCGCGCGCACAACTCCGTGTTTTCCGCGGGACTCCCTATTTCGCCTCGCGTCTCACAAACTCCTGATTCAACGGGCGACACCACAGTTCTGCAGCGCTTCCGAGCGTGACATCCGTGCGCTCCATTAGGTGACGTGTATGGCCACCGCAGGGTCTGGCGCTGCGGCACTATACGCGGCGCAACGCTGGCGGCGTCGGCGAACTCACGTATATTGGACGCCAAACAATCAGCGTAGCTCTTACTTCACGGACAGCTGCTAACCCAGGCGTCCAGACGGGCGTTGTACCAGCTGTATTCTCGATTGAACAGTCAAGGCTTGGCACAGTGTTAGTGTCGAGGGAGGGGCAGCGACGTCGTTGTAGCCTCAACAAAAGGTCCCGGCTGTCGCGCCTGAGGAGAGTCGCTGTCGTGCGTACAGCTGACTCTTGATAAGACGACAAGACGGGCTTGTGCAGGAAACGAGGGGCGGAGCCGAAGCCGCGTGGATGATCTGGGACAGCACCGAGCCTTCGTAAGGATAGTTGAGCCGCCAAAGAGGAAGGCTGCTCTTCTTCCCCCACGCAAGCGTGAGTGTCATCCCATCCGCTACGGTAGAGCAAGCATTGTTCGCTTTCCTCTGGCACCGAAGACGCCCTATGTAGCCGTGGCCAAGCATGCACGCACGGTCAGCGGATTGCAAACGGAAAAGACGCCGGATCAGGCCGTAAACAGAACCGCACGAGCCGTGTCTGAGCCGGTGTTTGCATTCTCATGCGTTTCATGTGATCTTCCGATGCAGCTGATGCACGCGCTGGCGCAGATTTGTGCTTTGGAGTGGAAGCTCTGAAGTTATTGAAATCGCTGTGTCACTCGAATCCTCAACGAGTTGGGTGTGGGGGAATGAAGTGTACGTGACCGTGTTCTCACGTCCACCCCCAACTATCGCAGGGTAAGCATCGAAAGAGCGCGCCGCTGCAGGGCAGCGGAGTCACCTTCAGACGTAGGGTGCTGCGCAGGCTTCCGGGCCAAGCAGCATCGCGGCCTGCGTCTCGGCGACTCCGCCATATGAGAAGTCTCCTCATCACCCCTGATGTCTGATGGCACAGAAATACTACCGTACAGCTGAAGTTATACTCACTGTGAAGAACGTCGTTTATTGATGGAGTATCAGCCGAAGTCCCGAAGAGCAACAGAGGCCTTTCGCTTGCGAAAGTTACACGGACAATAGCGCTCGCTGCGCCACGCCGACCAACGCTGTACGGAGGCTCCCGCTCCTCAGGATGCTGAGGGTTCCCACCTAATACAGTGGGACGTGCTGCTACACACGTTTCAGGTCAATTCTCTTGAGCCACGCTCCCGCTCCCCACAGCAGCTACAATGTCTGGGAATGCACCTAGGACGTGTATGCGTGTATAGGCCGCTCCAGCGGATCGCCTTCTGGACCGTGCTTCTCTTGTATTCCTCGAAGCACGTCTTACCCCTCACTTAGCCGGTTAGGCATTATACTCCTTTCACGCGCACGTGGTGGTACATCTTTGTGAAATGCGCCGGCGCTGGGGGACCAGGTACAACAGCGAAAAATATGCCTCGGTACGAAGTGTCTTCTTCTTCCTCTGACAGAACAACGAGACGGCATCCTGCAGCTGGAGCGCTCCACGAGTGTACAACAACCTTTGGAAACTAGAGAAACGCACACTGCAGCAGAGATATCACGCGCGCAGCCTCTGCCTGATTGTGTCTTAGTCCCCTCAACGCTCATATAGATTACTTTTGATCATGTCTGCCAGCACAACCCGGTGCGGAAGGGCGTCCGAACGCATCAATTTCTTGCGGTGATCGCCTCTGACAGAAGGCAGCATAGCTCTGAGCCGTCCTGCTCACGTCTTCCCGGCCCTCTCTGATGAATTTTCGGAGCTCTCCCCAAGCTCACGGCCGCCCGGAGTCTTCATACACGATGCAGGGGAGGGGACGCAGTGGGCTACTCATAGCAAACGTTGCACCTCGTAGCAGCTTGATTGCATTTCCGCTGCACCGACCCACTGCTATCAGTATCGCATCCAGGCTATGCCATATTAAACCAAAGCGTGCACGTCGTGTCGTGTCCTCGACGTGACTGCGACCGAAAGCGCTACCACTTCGAGCCACTTCTGTCGCTGAGGCGTTGAGTCACCCCGCTGGGGCTATCACCGAAGTCGCCTCCGTGGGCACCGGTACCAGGCACTCTGTGGCCTTGCCGAAGAGAAGCCAACGCCTTCGTTTGCAACACCGAAAAACAGGACACATCTTTCTTGATCTGCGACCAGGATCTAGCGGCTTCAATGCAGATCCTTCGCCTCCCGAAGCCTCCGTCACGTGCTGGTGTACGGCCTCTCCACGCAATTCTCCACACGCCTCGCCGAAGTCCGGCTCCAGACCGCCATGGTCCCAGCCATGCGGCCGCAGCGAGCGAGCAGTCCGGTGGCAGTCTCAGTTCTAATGTAACCTTTTGCCGTTAGCAACTGCTAGCGGCCTGCCGGAATCACTGCTCAGAGGATTGATCGCAACTCTGCCACGACAAGTTTCGTGACGGGCCTTGACTGATATCCCAGTGCAACGCTGCAGAAAAACGGTACGCATTGGCACAGATATATTGCCTGGGGGTTGCGGAAGGGCGTGCGCGACTAGGCCCCTCGTTTTAAGAGCTTGCCAGTGCAGAGCTGACGCGCGCGTGCCATTTGTTTTGTAGGATTCGAAAGGCGGCGAGAGAGAGGCCCTGCGGCTGCGCTTGCCAGTTGCCATACCCATCTAGTCCTCTACAGCCTCCGCCAGATGATTAGTGCCAGATAACTGCTCCGTCGTCGTGGTTACCTGGAGACCGTGCTGGGCCGCCAGTCCTGCCCCTAAGCGCTACCACTTCCGCTGCCGTCTACGTTCTTCTGTTTCGTTCTTCTGAAGACCCACAGAATGCCTGCCGGTCTGGGCTGGACACCAAGAGCCCTCAGCCACCTCCCCCCAGCGCGCCTACTCGTAAGATTTGTCACAAGACACAGGCAACCTGACCGCCATTGAGCTGCTACTCATCGCGTCATACCAGGCCTGCAGGATTCTGCTGGATAAGATGTCGGAAGCTGTCATAACGGGCCTGTTTCTAAGCCACGCTCAGTCGACTCGCTGTCAGGTATTGCATCAACCGCTGCAACTGCTACCACGGTGCCAGACGCAGTCGCGCGCTGTCGTGAAAGCTGCTTGAACGCACAGCGGGCGGCACATATGAGCGGGAAAGCAAGAGGCGCTAGCCTTCTGTTGCGGCAAAACAGATGCCCGTTGCATGCGGAGTCTCC